CAAATCTGTTTACACTGTTGTATTTGCTTTGCTTCAAAAAGTATATCCCATGGTGCTTCAAAGCATCTCCAAAGTCTCCATAAGTCTATAACAAAGCTTGTTAATCGCTTCCCGACTGCCCTATAGCAGAACTACTGCATAGGGTTGTGCAAAATCATGTGTATATATGCGTAATTTCGCATTTCCAGGTAGGGGACATGCCTGCACGTGCACGTGCCTCCCTACCCGTACCGGCCTAGGCAGCTACAGCTGTCGAACACAGGGTCCTGGACGGAGATTCCTCACTGGCACCTGGTGATCGCTGAGGAAGAGTGAAAGGGGAGAAGTCTGTGCGTAAACAACATAGATCTCTCCCCTGTGAGCACGGACATGCTGCTTTGTACAAAGCAGCATGTTTCTCTAGTAAAATATTGGGTTTTTTTTTTCAAAATTGTTGGGTTTTTTTTTGTTTATAGTGCAAAAAAAATTAAAAACACAGAGGTGATCAAATACCACCAAAAGAAAGCTCTATTTGTGGGAAAAAGGTACCTAAATTTAATTTGGGTGCAGCATTGCATGACCGCGCAATTGTCAATCAAAGAAACGCAGCGCCGTAACGCAAATAATGGCTTGGTCAGGAAGGGGAGTAAATCCTCTGGAGGGCACGTGGTTTACAGTACTTGCAGTCTTTGCGGGGTTGTTTTGGAGGCATTGCAGGTATGAGATATCCCAGGATGCACTGGGAAGACAAGTGAACTGAAAAAATGTCCTCAACACTCACTTCCAGTTCATGTGTATATATTAAGTGTCTGGTGCAGACATCATATCTGGTGTGCCACATGGACAGCAGAAAGGTGAACAGGGTCGGGACTGGAGTAGAGCAACTAACAGATGGCACGTGGTATGCAACATGGGAATGCTAAAGCGGAAGGTGAGTGAGGACCAGAGAGAGAGGACTGGCAGAGGAACAGCAGAGCTAGTAAAACTAGCAGATGTCCCACAAGGTGGGCAACATGGGTGCAATATAGCGGTGGGGTGGGGTGGGATGGGCAAGGACTGGAGAGAGAGAGGAGGACTAGTAAACATGATTGGCAGAGCTGGGGGGTTACTGCTGAATGGGTGATCAGCAGAGCTGGGGGTACTACTGAGTGGGGCATCAGCAGAGATGGGGGTACTACTGAGCAGGGAATCTGCTGAACAGGGGTTCAAATGGAGCTGGGGATCTGCTGAGTGGGGGTACTAAAGAGTCAGGGTTCTACTGGGCTCCTTTAAAACAAATAGAAAATCAACACACACAGGGCATTTGCCAAGCTTCAAAAAAGCATCACTGAAGCATCAAACACACATTAAAAACAACATGTTGAAACCGCTTTAATGTGTGTTAAAGTTGAATCAAGTATAATAGAGTCCTAAAAGCCAAACATCAGCCAAAACTTCCTTTTTTAGATTTGGATAGACTTCACATACTACATGTATAATTGTTAATAAAAGTTGCATAAACGTTTATGCTCATTTAGATTGTTATCTTAATGGGACCTGAAGCCAGGGTCCCAATGCTGCAAGGCTAGTATACTAACTATACTAAATCATCACATTTATGTCAGTTTAGAGTCTTAATGAAAACACCACATAAGTAGTGAGTGGATGGATCAGAAACAGTACTGTCCATGATACAATTTTTCAGGACAAGCTGTCGAGGTGTATCCGCTGCTTCAAGGTCCAAGTGGTACTAATCACAGCTTGTCCTGAAAAATTGCATGTTCGTGTAAATTAAAAAAAAAAAAAAAAAGTATCTTGGATAGTACACAATCTTTTTCTGTTGCAAGTGCACTAATACGGCTACGATCACCTCAAGCGAGTGGATGGATGAATGGATTATATGGATGAAGCCACTGCTATAGCATCATTTCACATCAACAAAAATGTTGAGAATGCAAAATTAGTAAACTGCAATATTCACAATATGAAAAAAAAACATGAAGCATCACCAAATATGTTGCAAGGTTATGACTGTGAAATTATATCACAATGGCTAAAATCATCAATGCAGGAACAGAAAATTGTTAACTATTTTATGTGTTACTGGAAAGGGGAACCACCTTCACATTTTACTGTGGGAGTCAAGGTTTCCTACTTGACATGAATGCCCCTCTTTAAGTGTTCTAACACTTCCCTTCAGGGCACCCTGGGAGGGATTTACTATGGGGAATGTGACCAGAGAAGTCAGACTACTGTACAGCTAGGGGATCCCAGCAGGAAATACTGGAAACACCAGCATACCCAACAAGATCTTCTGACCTGTAGGTATGCAGAGGGCGGGTTCATAGCATAGAATATACATGGGTACACATCCAGCAGCTGGATCGGTTCACAGCGGTATCTAATCCTTGGAGAGGTTCAATCATTACCGCCTGGCACAAGCAAGAACATTGATAACAAGGTTCTCTCACTACCAGCACCTACTGTAAAGTTTTTGCATGGACTTTGTATTTGCAGTTAATTTGTATGCCAATTTTTCACTTGTATTTGGCATATTTTGTTTATGCACATTGTGTTTTGACCACTTGACCTCCGGAAGGTTTTACCCCCTTCATGAGCAGAGCATTTTTTTTGCTATTCAGCACTCTGCTACTTTAACTGCCAATTGCTTGGTTATGAAACACTGTACCCAAATGAAATTTATATTGTTTTCCACACACTTTTTGCTGGTATTTGATTACCCTTGTTTTTTTTTTATTATTATTATTATTATATAAACAAAGAAAGATAGAAAAAGCAGGAAAAAAATATTTTTACTTACGGTTATAAAACATATCCAATAAAATATATAAAAAAAAAAAATCTTCATGAATGTAGGCCAAAAGGATTCTGCTACGTCTTTGGTAAAAAAAAAAAAAAACAAAAAAACCCAGTAAGTGTATATTAATTGGTTTGCGTGAAAGTTATAGAGGCTTCTAACTATAGTATATATATTTGAATTTACGCAGCTATAGACAGTATAATGGTAATGGCAGTGATCAGTGACTTATAGTAGGACTGTGACAGACAATCTGGCACTAACAGACACTGGCCGTTAGCGACACTGATGTTGCTAGTGACATTAATACAGTGATCAAATACTGTACTAATTATACTGGCGGGGAAGGGGCTTAAGGGGTAAACTGTGTGCCTGACAAGTGTAATGCATGTTGTTTTTACTCACAGATCTGGCTTTTTCTCCCTGCTTTCCAGGAAGAAGAAACAGCCAGATCGCTGTTCTGTGCATTTGTAAAATAATTGGCCAAAACCTGCTGACAAACTCATGCCATGCCCAATCACAGCACAGGTCAAAACGCCCTAAACCTGAAAGAAAGCAGGCAACACACATGTACGTTGTCATGTCTGCCCCTGTCACCCACTTGCAGTATGTTTTACTGTGAGAGGGTCAGCAAGTGGTAAACTAACACTGCAATGTTTCTTTATTTTTTTCCAGGATGCACAGTTTGTGATTTTGAGATTATTTAAATTTTTTCACAATTTACAAACTGACTCAAGTACAGAAGTGTATTCAGGAGGCTGGAACCACAAGAAGTGAGGGCTGGGAGCTATATGAGGGCTTTTAGGTCTTGTGGTTCCTGCAGATCCATCACTCAAGTGAACTGTCCTGGAGAATGACTTGTGATGATGCTGGGGGACGATTACTCACCTAAGAATTGACTTTTCTGTATGAATTTTTCATATTTCTGCACAGCATTAGCAATGATAAAAAAAAAATGTAGACTGTTAAACTGCCTGAAAAAAGTAGTCCAATCTGTGATGGCTCTTCCTATACAGATGTCCAAGTCCAACACAAACATTCATACTTCACACACGTGCACCAAGTTATTTTATACAGGAATAAACGCACGAAATGTATTAAATATTTAATGCTCTTTTAATTATTTTTTTTTTTTTAAATATTAAAACTGAGGAAGCAACTCATATACAGGGAGGGATATAAAAAAATCGATGAATTCATTTACATAGTAAATTTTACTAAATATAAATCCGAGTTGTGGGGATATTCAAACACATTGCTAAATTTAACAATTCAAAGCTTAATACCCCTACCTGCAAGCTAACCGATATAGCAGGACATCTGTTTCACCAAATGAATAAAAACAATTGCCTTTAACAAAAAGGCTAAACAGGAAAAAAAAAAAAAAAAAAAAAAACAAAAAAAAAAAAACACGTTATGGAAAAAGGGGTCACTTCCTTCTGTTTCATGTACCCAAAATTCACAGGTGACTGGACAGTTTGTGTATTGAAATGTGTATGTGCTGAAATTTTTCCTAGTTTCTGGTGATGCAGGCATATTGATTTCTTACACAGCGACCAAAATGTTATGTTCACGCTGACCAAAATATCTGAAGATGAACACTTAAACATGAAACACCACCATTCGGACTGTGGTTAGTGGAAAAGGGCTTCTTTAGATTATGCTTGACTTTGAACTTATCAAGAACATGGAGAAAAACTGAAGGTGTTGTACTTCCCACACAACCAATATAAGAAGGGTGGTAGTGGAATCTATATAGACTTTCCAGATAAGCAAAGATTCCACAGTACAATATCTTTGAGAATTACTCAAGAATGGTTTACAGTGAAGCAGTGCTGTGACTACCCACATCCAAACCAAAGAGATCTCCACAATATGTTACATGAAATATGCTTCTATCAGTTCTACAAAGGAAACACTTAAAAAGTTATTAAACGGCTTTACATGGACTGAAGAAGCAACATTAGCACAGTTCATTAAAGAACCTGTTTGGATGGCACCGATTTGATTTTTGTTACATTGTTAACATTTAACAATACTTTACAATATAATTTTAGATTAAAAAATAGACGTTTAGATATGTATAAATAATATAACCAGTTCGTAGGAGTCAGACAACACAGACTGATATTTAAAACGGTTCATCTTCAAATTCTGGGCTGGGATTCCAGAAGAGAGTAGGATCATTGAGGGGCGAAGTAGCACTGGATTGGTGCATGTGGACATTGAGGAGCTGAGGAAAAAGTTCACTTGTAAAAGAGTCCTCCCAGACCTGGTCACAGTTCAAAGGAGAGGACATGTCACTGAGAGGGGATGAGCAACCCTCATAGCCAGAGTCACTGCCTGTATCCAGCAGGTTTCCTGGTTTTTCCATGTTGTTTTCTGAAGAGGACAATAGGCTCTGTATCCCAGGGACAGGGGTGGGCTCTTCTTCTTGGAACTCTTCCTTCACGGAGATGGGGGCAACACAAGAAGTATTGAAAGATGCTTCCTCTGTTTTAATGACTACACTGGACTCAATTCCTAGCTCTGAATCTTGCTCAGAGCACAGGGGCTTTGTGTAGACATGATCAAATCGAATCAGTTCATTAATGGCTTCCAGCTTGATTGATGGGGTCCCCACTGGAGAAGATGGGGCGGTGGGTATGGAATCTGCTTCATCGCTAACTTCTTGCTGCTGGTTCCAGGGCAGCACTCCATGGTAGCCAAGTAAGATTTCCGAGTCCAGGCTTTCCAATAGGCCAAGCAAGATATCAGACTAAAATATTAAAATGGAACAATTAATGCTCAACACATATCTTAAACTGATAAAAATAATCTACCAATATACATAAAACAAAGGATATAAAAACAGTAAATAAAAAAAAAACTGCTGCTTTGAACATCAAAAGAAAAAAAAAAAAAAAAAAAAGTCCACTGCGGAGACAAATGTGTAATTGTTTTAGATAAAACAAGTATTGTTCTGAAAAGAACAAACATTATAGGACAACTTAGAATTTGTTAAGGGCAGTTTAATGTTTTATTTGGCATCACCTCCATATTCCACCATTAAGCATTTCATGGTACTTTTAAAAAGGTCACCTTATTCTTAAAATGTGAGGTTTTCAATGTCTTATTGTTTAAAGTCTCTGTTGATTTAACAGTTTGTTTGCTGTTCTTACTTCACTAAGCCCTGGTGCATCCTGTCACCAAACTAAGCAGCTGACTGTACAGTATAGCTCAGCTGGAGGGTATCAATAGCTGGGGGCTGCGAATCCATATAAAGGGTCTCATTATTCATCTAAAATGCTGCAATCACACCCAACAGACAGATCAAATATTCACAATCTCTAAGCATAAAATTACATTTTAATTATGTAACATTCACCCCTACAGCAAACATCATGAATTAGGCCATTTCATACCTATTGTTAAGATAGTATGAATTTATTTAAATCCCTTCATGGCATTGCGATGATCCCAGATTCACAACAGCAAGAAACAGTTTAGTGCAAGTAGCTATAGGCTCTGCTCATTTTCACCCCAAATAACAAAAAATTTAAGTACCACTTGTAGAAATTCATACAGCAAGGTTAAACAAGCAAAGCGGTTTTTTTTTTTTACCAAAATGTATTTCCAACTGCAGATATTTTCCAGTAAGAGATAATCACCTTAATTTACTAGGAGTACAGCATGTTCAATGTAAAGTGATTTTTAGCAAAACGGAGACATTTTTTTTTTTCTTTACAAAAAGGGACTTTTTACTTATCGTACTGAACGAGGTGAAGTTGAAAATATGTGCCAGCAGAAATCGAGTTTTGACATTTTTCTTGGTTATAAGAAGAAAATTCATTTGCATTCACTACTTCCTTAGTAAATCAGGGTTACCATCACTTACTGGAAAAAAAAATCTACGGTCAGAAAAACGTTTGCCAAAAATTTCAATCCCAACAAATCTGAGAACTAATTAAAAGGAAATAGTGACAGTTTTCTGACAAAATAAAAATTACTTTTTACTACTGTAAGAGAAAGATATATCTTTTGAATGAAAGAGGAAGCTGCAGCAGCTTCATGGTTATTGCATGGATGATTATTGGCCATTTCTTACTGATGACATTTCAGGACTACACTTTATAGAGGACCTGAACATCTAGAGAATAGAATCTGGCTGCTTACCTCACTGTCTGAAGAGCCAGGGCTGTCAGGATCCATGTCGATGCTGTCAAGTTCAGGGACGTCTGGGCCTGCTCCTGCTGCAGAGGGGCACGTAGTCTGAGTGCTGCGGACTCAGCGGACCCGGCCACTGGACTGACTTCATCTTCTCTGGACTGAACCAGAACCTACAGGAAATACAAACATTTAAAAAAAAAAAAAAAAAGTCAACAATGGCAGCCAAGCAGATATTAAATAACGGTCATAATAAAATAGCAGTAACTAGGTAATAGATGCATTTTTTGAAGCCTTGCATTAACATGAAATCCACTGCTGTTGTGTAATTTGTGCTTCCAAAAGCACAAAAAATAGTTTCCCGTAAACAAAAATGTGAGTGTCTGTTACTAACAGTCAGTTTCAAGAAACTCACAATGCCACAATACAGAGCTACAAAGAACACTGCATGCATTTCATGGAATATTGTTTCCACACACCCTCCATTCAATTCGGCACACCTGTGAGCAAATAAATGCTAAAAACTTGACTTCCTGTAAAGACAAGGAAATAGAAGCATCCCACACTCTAACTCCATTACGGGAATGAATAAGTAAATAAAATAAATGATGGCCTACAGCCTGGTATCAAATCACCTGATACAATGTATTGTTCTTCCAGGTTACTCTTTGTGAACCAAACATTGTAATCATTTGCAAACTCAAATACAAAGTTCTGAAGTCCTGCAGTGAGTAGTAATTTTTTTTTTTTTTTTTTTTTAATTAAAAATATCTAACTAATGTCTCTTCTGAGTTCTTGGTAGTTTACCTTAGAATGTTGATAGAGACAATTCTGTTCAACATTCCGTAGCGTGCCACAAAAGCTTTATTATAATCAGATTATGGCAAGGGCCGATTTTCAATCCTAGCAACATTCGTACAGATCTAACAAGGGATTAAAGTCCCCTTTCAGAGTCCATGACCTAGCTTCAGTGTGATTTATGGGCTAAAATCAATAAACACAACACAATAGAAAAGGTGTAAAGTACCCCTATCAACCATTGGAATCCCTTTGGTATTGGCCTTATGCTTTCTGCTCCTGTTTTAAATAAGCTTGCATGCATATCATTTCTTCCCAGCTAAAGTCTATTATTGCCTGCCCAGGATGATATGGGATCATGTTATGACAATTACCTCAATCTCTTCTTCCCCTTTTACTTCAAGGGCATCCAAGCCCAATCTCTGGCGTAGTTCTTGGTTTTCGGTTATTAAACCGTGGGATTTTTCTCGTAAGAGCTTGTTTTCAATCAGGAGCTTCTCATTCTGGAAAAGGAACACAATGTGTTAACACCAAGCATGGATAACATAATAAAGAAGCTGTCAATTACACAAAACCGCCTCCCTAACCTCCATGCTCTATAAACTGCATTAACAGAAAGAGGTTTAAAATATTAAACAAAAAAAAACAATATTTAGTTGGCACTAATTAAGGTTTGTAATAATTTGAAACTACTATAGGGAAAGTATGATGACTGCACCAAACTAAGAGAGGTGGGAGAGGAAGACCTCATGACAAGGAAAGGGTGGTTCACGCTCACGTAAAAGTCAGAAAAAGAATGGTACAATTTAGTCTCCTTTGGAGCATTGCACGTGTATTTTTTTCAAATAACACTGCATTTTATTACATGTACTTATAGAACGCTGTCAATTTACGCAGCGCTTTACATATACATTGTACATTCACATCAGTCCCTAACCCTCAAGGGGCATACAATCTAAGGTCCCTAACTCACATGCATACATACACATACTAGGGACAATTGGAGCCAATTAACCTACCCAGGAGGAGGAGGAAACCCATGCAGCCACAGGGAGAACATGCAAACTCCAGGCAGGTGGTGCCCTGGTTGGGATTCGAAGCAACAACCTTAGTACTGCCAGGCGGAAGTGCTAACTACTTAGCCGCTGTACTGCCCTAGGGGTGTGCAAAGATGGAAGAGGTATATCACAGCATGATGTATCCACCTGTGGCAGAACCATTTTTTTCCAGCAGTCACTGTACTAGTACCACAAGTGGGGAAGGCCTAGGGTTGGCCACACAAGTTATTATTGGGAGAAGGACTAGGGTTGGAGACATGAGCTCAAATTGTTGAGGTTCTAGGGATAGAAATGAGCTTTGATTGAGGAGATGATGAAACCCACTTGTCATCACCCATTTATTCCATAAGAACTCTTTGTTATTAGTATACAAAAATTATATGGTGCCAACAGTTTACATGGCGCTTTAGTTCGTGATTGGATGCCTGCTAAGTGTGTGGAAATATCCTGAGTGATGCCACCAATGTGAGTATGAGCAGGCATACATATGGATGGTTTTTAAACCAAACAGAGCTAAAAAGAAAGCTAAATAATTGGAATCGGACTACTCAAGACAAGTTGAGTTTCTGTGGCAGGAGGTGTTAAAAGCTTCAGCATGACAGCCAAGAAATGATTATTTCTGAATGAAGTCAGCATTAGCAAGCTACATGTACTTTGAACTGTAGAATCTCATAAAAGGAGAAAAAAGTATAATGAAGCATTGTAAGACAGTAGTGAATTGAAACTAGTAGAGTTGAAAATTAGAGCAGCCTTCCTCAACCAGGGTGCCCAGGCACCCTGGGGTGCCTTGAAGTCTCTCCAGGGGAGCCTTGGCAGAATGCCTAAAAATTGCCCAAAATCTTGTATACAAGCATGCAGGTGGAATAAGCCTGCCTTTTAGTTACACAAAGCCATAGGTTTTCATTGTGCACCATTATGACCTGCTAGCCACCGGCATCCTAACAACCAATGACACCATCAGTTGATAAGGAGGATGTTGGTCGCCTGCACAGCATCCTTGTTTGACCCTCCCCTGCCCCTCTGTCAGTAATAGGGTCGCATTAACTGAGTGATGATCTGAGAGAAACTGAAGAAACATTGGAATACTATTCAGTATCAGTGTGCAAAAATGTATTTGCTTTGGAAGACTATATCCCCTCTAACATTGGGTGTCCTACATGTGTGGGTGTTGCTGCATTAGGTAAAACTATTAAAATAGTTTTTTACATTTTAAAATGGGGTGCCTTGAGACGGTCCATAATCCTAAAGGGTGCCACAAGATCATAACTTTAAAGGATGCCTTGACTGAAAAAAAGATTGAGAAACACTGAATGTGGACAAACTTGACCTGGAATGTGTGTAAACACCCTCTATAGACCACCCCAGGGGGCATTAGGTAATAAAAAAAAGGAATGGGTGTGTGGGGTGGGGGGGGGGTGGGGGGGGGGGGGGGGGGGGAGGTGTCACACCTTGTTGTAAATCAGTAAATAGACATTACACACATCTTCTTTAGTGCTGCTATATCCACAGGGTGTGTGGGCTGTGCCTATTAAACGAATACTGCTACCAATTTGAAAGGGGCTGAAAAAAAGACATTCACATTTCTAGCCATCAGATCTGACTGCTGCTAAATACCAGGTTATTTCTTGTTAAAGTGAAATGAAGGCAACATTCCTTGCTACTGGATCATAAAGCCTACATATTGGCTAATAAAAAGAGAAACACAAAACTGCAGAACATACCTCCAACTCTAGATCCAAAACTTGTTGCTCAAGTTCACTCATTCTTGCTTTTTTTCTGTCTCGTGCCGTTTGTGCGGCAACTCTGTTTTTTAATTTCCTATTAAAAAAAAAACCCCAAAAATTAATAATCATATGTTAACAGGACAAGCAGACACATGGTCAAAGTATACTTAAAATAAAGAAAACACACAAGTTGAAGGGCAATGATGTGGTAGTAAATTGCATAGGGAGTGCACAACTTTGCCACCTGGTTACACCTTTTTTTCTCTATAATCCAGATGTCTGTCAGATGGCCATATGTGTGTACTGTTAGATTCTACAGATATGGCCATTCTGTGCTTCGTAACATCTGTTCAATGATAAGGGTCTCTAAGGACATAAGAAGACCATAATATTCAACAAGATGTGACCTACTATTTGGTTGAGTATTTGGTGTTTAGATGCACAAGCAAACATCGCTAGTGTCCCCCAGGTTTATAAAACTTGACCAACCTGAGAGTAATTGGATTGCTGTCTTTTATTTCACCCTAAAGGCATAGGAAATATCAAATAACGGTCCTTATGTTTACCTCCAATCTTTACATATACGTAACTCATTGAGAGCAAGCAGACCAGAGAACGTGGCCAAGCCAATAGCACAGTCCCTACACCCACCACTCTACTAAAGAAACAATCCTGTAGATTATTTGTAGATACTGCACAGTTCCTCTAATGATAGGAAACATGTGCTGGGGGGTTTCTAGAACATCAGGAAGGAAAACTATCTTCTTTTCTTGCCAACCCTAGGCAAATGTCATCATGAGCAGGTTTCTTCTAGTCCTAAAGGAGACTAATTACAGAGTGTTGCATCAGCTAAGTGATGCTGCTGAATAAGTAATAAACAGATGTCCTAGTAACTACTGACTCATGTACCACTCGCATCAATCAACTGTAGTAAAAAAAAAAAAATACATAAAAAAGGTGCAATCTATAGGAAATATACAGCATAGCTGTAATAAGTGTCACTGCTTCCAATCCAGCCGTTCAGCTGTACATCAGGTTAAACAGAGGTTCAAAGTTTTGGCTGACCTAAACTTCCAAAAATGAACAACTGGCGATCCACGTGATTGTAGGTTCTCTCTAGTCGCATATTTCCTCAAGTAAGCTTTATGTCAAAAGAAAGAGGTTTTACTGACTTTATTGTAAAGGCTAAAGTTTTAGGCTACTTTCACACTACTCCATCGCAAAAACATAATAAAAATACATATGCAGTTTTCCTGCGCTGCATTTCCAGTACATTTTGCACCTGTGTGAAAGGACATGCGACTCAAAAAAAACATATAAAAAACGCACCCATGGTTCCATACTTTTCAATGGGGAGGTGTGTGTTTTTCTTACTGCACCAAAACCGCACTGAAAAACCCAATGGGCCTGCAACTGACCAGTGTTAAGAGTTCCATAGAATTTAACGGTCATGAGTTTTTTTTCCTTTAATGCAAAAACAGAAGAAAATCTCAGTGTGAAAGCAAACTTAGTCCTCTTTCTCATGGGTGGACCAAATGGGTCCCCCTGCCCGTTTTTCAGGCTGACCTGGTCAGACCATACACTGCCCTCTATGGAGCATTGGATGTAAATGGACAATGCATCCGATCTGCTAAAAACAGACAGATGGGGGAATCTATTCTCCATCTGTCTAGCGCATAGGTGTCAAAATGGCGGCCCTCCAGCTGTTGCGAAACTACAAGTCCCTCTGCCTTTGGGAGTCATGCTTGTAACTGTCAATCTTGCAATGCCTCATGGGACTGGAGGGCCAACAGTTTGACACCCGTGGTCTAGCAGATCAGCTTGGATGTCAGTGTGATGTAAACAGACCAGTGATCAGTAAAGGGACAGGTGGTCAGTTTACATCTGACCACCCATAGAGGAAAGCAGCCTGTATCTGCTCTGCATAAGAGGAGCGGCCGCAGACCTGTCATCAGCCTGCTGAGCAGGATCAGAGAACAGAGCCCACGCTGAGCAGGCAGATTGGCTGACATAGTCTGCCTGTGTGATAGGGGTCTTACTGGAAGCCAAGGAGACAGTATTAAAGAGATCAGTAACTGGTATGCCACGGTCATGGCTTTGTACAGTTCTACAGTATTGCAATGGAACACAAGCAGGAAAATTGTGTACAAATATTAACATAAGGGGTGTACAGTGGCGGATCCTAGATGGGTGTGAGGGTATTTGCACTGCAGGAGAGGTTACAACTGTAAGCTATGTACACTTTCTTAACTCATTTATTAAGAGCAGACAACCATATGTTCCTCCAGATTACCGGGAAGCATATTGGGTAATAGCCTAGTGTTGGCTGCAGTCTAGAGATTAATGCATATCCATCCTGCTAATAGCATTTACACATATTTCACAACATATGGGCAGCACAGTGGCTAAATGGATAGCATTTCTGCCTGGCAGTACTGGGGTCGTTGGTTCAAATCCCAACCACGGCATCACCTGCCTGGAGTTTGCATGTTCTCCCTGTGCCTGCATGGGTTTCCTCCGGGTACTACGGTTTCCTCCCACACTCCAAAGATATGCTCGTAGGATAATTGGCTCCTGTCTAAAAATTGGCCCTAGTATGTGTATGTATGAATGTAAGTTAGGGACCTTAGATTGTATGCCCCTTGAGGGTTAGAGACTGATGTGAATGTACAAATATATATGTAAAGCGCTGCGTAAATTGACAGCACTATATAAGTACCTGAAATAAATAAATATGTTTTGCAAGTCTTTTCCAGGGCTGGACATCCCCTGGGTAGAATTGTGAATCCCTACAGATCATAAAATGTGCCAATTCAGGTACACAGCAAAATAGACACGCATGTCATGTGCGCTTGATTCCATATGTTTGATTGACTTTAATTGGCTGCCATGACCAACGTATTTTCCTTTGATCCAGCCCTTTATTCTTTTAAAAACAGACCTGTATAAAAGTCCTACGGTGATCATTTACTTCAAGGAAGTTAAAGAAAATGAAATGAACTTCTAGCATTCCTGGCTATAATGACAAAAGGATGACACATACATCACAAGCATTTCTGAGTAAAACCCAAAGTTCATTTCCTCTTTCAGCAGTTAACTGGAAGCTTCACTTCTCTTTAAAACAGGATACTATTCTCAGATGATGAGATGGGCTGGGTGCTGGACACACTGGCAGTTTATTTTAGTCCTTGGAGGATTAACACAGAAGTAACTGACAAGACAGCAGGAGCTCATACTACACAACTTGTAGCTTGATCTGCTCTGATCGGCACCACAAACATAACACCAAATACAAGTCATAGGAATGAAAAGAGAGCCCTGACAATAGAAAACAAAAATAAAAAAAATCTATAAACAAACAAGGCACACAAAAGGGACTTTTTTTTTTTTTTTTTTTTTTTTTTTAATTGTTTTGAATTTTTTCAGATCTGAGCACAGCTGTGTAGTTTTCTATGGACCCATGCACACAGCTGTGTACAGGTCAGTAAATGTGTGCTTCATTCCAAAAAGAAGATGACAGAAAAATCTGAGCTGCTGTGTAAAGGAGCTTATTTTTAAACTGCACATACGTTTTATAGAGAGATTAACTGGGTGCAGCAACAACACCCATCACTAGTAACCGAGATCACTAGGACTTTACTCATCTACCTACACCCCTTCATGAAAATAAATAGTTATATAGGCTAACCAAAGAGCAACCACCTGGAAGCCACATGGTTGAGAAATGGTACAAATTGTGCAAACTTAAAAAGTTCCAGGAAGAGGAGGGCTGGCATAAAACCAACAGATATTCATCATTTGTAAGTGACGTCAAGGCAGCCAGCTCCCTCAGCTGCCACGCAGGCAGGATCAGCATATCCTCCCCCTCCAGCAACCTATTACTGGAATCCCCCATATACACAGGATATACAGGGGACAGAGAACAGGGTATATAGGGGACATTCCCTTTATAGGAGACAAACTGATATATAGGAGACTTCCCTCTATATCTCATAATCGGGGATCATAGGACATTTCCTGATCACAGGATCTATGGCAGACATGAACTAATATATATATATATATACACATACATAGGGTACATTCCCTGATCACTGGGTTTACAGTGGACACTCGATCTCAGGATATGACATTCTCTGATCATCACTGGGTATATAGACATTCCATGATCACAGGGTTTCTCTGGATCTAGGGGGGGAACATGCCCCGATCTCGGGATCCGGGTGGTGTTGGAACGGGGGGGGGGGGGGGGGGGTTGGAGATGGACATTCCCCGCTCTCCGGGGGGGGGGGGTTTGGAGATGGACATTCCCCGATCTCCGGATCTGGGAAGGGGGGGGGGGCATTCCCCGATCTCCGGATCTGGGAAGGGGGGGGGGCATTCCCCGATCTCCGGATCTGGGGAAGGGGGGGGCATTCCCCGATCTCCGGATCTGGGAAGGGGGGGGCATTCCCCAATCTCCCTGGGAAGGGGGGGGCATTTCCCGATCTCCGGATCTGGGAAGGGGGGGGCATTCCCCGATCTCCGGATCTGGGAAGGGGGGGGGGGGCATTCCCCGATCTCCGGATCTGGGGGAAGGGGGGGGGGCATTCCCCGATCTCCGGATCTGGGAAAGGGGGGGGGGCATTCCCCGATCTCCGGATCTGGGAAGGGGGGGGGGGGGGGGGGCATTCCCCGATCTCCGGATCTCTGGATCTGGGGGGGGGGGGGGGGCATTCCCCGATCTCTGGATCTGGATCTTGGGGGGGGGGGCATTCCCGATCTCTGGATCTGGGGGGGGGGGCATTCCCGATCTCTGGATCGGGGGGGGGGGGGCATTCCCGATCTCTGGATCGGGGGGGGGGGGCATTCCCGATCTCTGGGGGGGGGGGGGGGGGGGGGCATTCCCGATCTCTGGATCTGGGGGGGGGGGCATTCCCGATCTCTGGATCTGGGGGGGGGGGGCATTCCCGATCTCTGGATCTGGGGGGGGGGGGGGGGGCATTCCCGATCTCTGGAGGGGGGGGGGGGGGGGGGCATTCCCGATCTCTGGATCTTGGGGGGGGGGGGGCATTCCCGATCTCTGGATCTTGGGGGGGGGGGGGGGCATTCCCGATCTCTGGATCTTGGGGGGGGGGGGGCATTCCCGATCTCTGGATCTGGGGGGGGGGGGCATTCCCGATCTCTGGATCTTGGGGGGGGGGGGCATTCCCGATCTCTGGATCTGGGGGGGGGGGGGCATTCCCGATCTCTGGATCTGGGGGGGGGGGGGGCATTCCCGATCTCTGGATCTTGGGGGGGGGGGGCATTCCCGATCTCTGGATCTTGGGGGGGGGGGGCATTCCCGATCTCTGGATCTTGGGGGGGGGGGGCATTCCCGATCTCTGGATCTTGGGGGGGGGGGGCATTCCCGATCTCTGGATCTTGGGGGGGGGGGGGCATTCCGATCTCTGGATCTTGGGGGGGGGGGCATTCCCGATCTCTGGATCTTGGGGGGGGGGGGGGGGGCATTTCTCTGGATCTTGGGGGGGGGGGGGGGGCATCTCTAGATCTCTGGGGGGGGGGCATTCCCGATCTCTGGATGGGGGGGGGGGAGGGGGGGGGGGGCATTCTAGATCTCTGGGGGGGGGGGGGCATTCCGATCTCTGGATCTGGGGGGGGGGGGCATTCTAGATCTCTGGATCTGGGGGGGGGGGGGGGGGCATTCTAGATCTCTGGATCTGGGGGGGGGGGGCATTCTAGATCTCTGGATCTGGGGGGGGGGGGGCATTCTAGATCTCTGGATCTGGGGGGGGGGCATTCTAGATCTCTGGATGACGGGGGGGGGGGCCATTCTAGATTCTAGATCTCTGGATCTGGGGGGGGGGGGGCATTCTAGATCTCTGGATCTGGGGGGGGGGGGGCATTCTAGATCTCTGGATCTGGGGGGGGGGGGGGGGGCATTCTAGATCTCTGGATCTGGGGGGGGATTCTAGATCTCTGGGGGGGGGGGGGGGCATTCTAGATCTCTGGGGGGGGGGGGGAGGCATTCTAGATCTCTGGATCTGGGGGGGGGGAGGCATTCTAGATCTCTGGATCTGGGGGGGGGGGGGAGGCATTCTAGATCTCTGGATTGGGGGGGTGAGGCATTCTAAATCTCTGGATCTTGGGGGGGGGGGCATTCTAGATCTCTGGATCTTGGGGGGGGGGCATTCTAGATCTCTGGATCTTGGGGGGGGGGGGCATTCTAGATCTCTGGATCTTGGGGGGCGGCGTTCCTGGTCTCTGGGGCGGAGGGGGGTACCTTTCCTGAGAACAGAATATCAGGGGCCATTCTCCGAGGACAGGGTGTGGGTGTAATAGAAGCTGCCACCACCATGGGGGGTATGGGGGGGGGGGGGGGTGTAGAGACAACATGTGAAGTGGGCATTAGCCGGTCCATTGCTAAGACAGAATTGCTGCCCAGTTTCCAGCCGCACTGCCAATGACAGCCGGACTGCGCGGGCTGCTCCGGACACACAGCCCTCCCTGGTCTCCATACACCGGCCCCGTCCATTGCAGGACCTCATGCCTGGAGAGGAGGGGGGTGCCTGGCTGCAGAGAAGGCAGGACACAGGGGAGCCCTCTCCTCCTCCATATCACGAGAGGCCGGGGATCACACAACACAGCCTATCCCCGCACACGGAGGAGCCGCCATCTCAGCTGACAGCCAATCACAGAGATCACCAGAGGTGAACTACAAGTCCCAGCACGCCCACACACACACCATGCTATGTACCGCACCTCCTCAGCGCCTTCTCCTCCGGACTGAGATGAGTCAGCCTCTGCCTCTTCCTCGGCGGTACATCGCTGCTCGCTGACTCCGGACTGCCCGGGCTGTGTATCGGTAACATGACAGAGGTGAGCGGATTGCACTCCCCTTGCTCGGACTGTCCTCCGGGGATGAAGATGACTTTGGGGGCTCCCATGACCACCATAGCTGGGATGGGTGTCGGGGTGGAGGAGCGGGGACAGGAGGAGGAGCGGGGCGGACTAGACGGGGAGACTTTACTACACCACTGAGCACTGCGGCCATTCATATCTACCCAGCGTGTCTCCTCCCTATTGGACAAACCCAGTGATGTCACGGCCGGCTCACCACTATTGGTGTGCGGGGAAGGGGGAGGAGTGATGGAGGTGTGTGCGGGGCTATGGGCTGTGTGAGGGGGTTGTGTTATAGAGAGCGGATGAAGAGCTGGGATTTCTGCATTCCTTCTGCTTTTCATTTTCTTTCTCTTTTTTATCTTCACCCCTTCAATGTCTTCTGTCTTTTCCTTCCACTTCATTTCTTTCCCTTACATTTTCAATTCCTTTACTTTTTTTCCTTCCCCTTCCTTATACGTTTCCTTTCTTTCCTTCCTCCCCATTCATCCCTTCCTAAGGGCCGGTGTAGCGGCAAGATGTGTCTCCCTTGTAGATATGTCCCCCCTGAAGCAAATGTGGCATGGAAGGGGTTACTTCACCACATGGTCAGAGACAGTAGTTCTATCATCGATTGGTCGTGCCTGAATCGGGACATGCACAGTTGCTTCAGGGGGGACATACCTACATGGGAGACACATCTTGACGCTACACCGATTCCCACCACTACGCCGTGCAGGAAATGCGCGTTCTGTGCACGTTCCCACATCGCGTTCAAAACGCACTGCCTTTGTTATCTGCTGTAGGTGCAAATTTATTGTTAACAGCACCGCAAATGCAGATCGCAGACAGTGCGTTTGTATGCACCAGATCACTTGGTACCACAGTGCCGTGCAATTCGGCATGGCGCATTGTAGTGCATGCAATACTTGTTGCACTTTTCAGAGTTTGATTTGCAGCCCATTCAAACCCATGGGCTGGAAAATTGCACTACAGAACACACAAATGCAGACCACATTCCTGTGCAATTCTGGGGTGAACCTTCCCTTTTCTTTCCCTTTTCCTTCCCTTTCCTGTCTTCCTTCACTTTTTTTTTTTCTTTCTACCTTCTTTTCCTTCCCTTCCTTTATCCTCTGGCCTTCCTTCTTTCTTTGCTTTTCTTTCTTTACTTTTCTTTCTTTTTCTCTTTTCTTTCCCTTTTTTCCCTTCTTTTTCTTCCCTTTCCTGTCTTCCTTCCCTTTCCTTCCTTCCTTCTCTTCTCTTTTCTTTTTTTTAATTTCTACCTTTTCCTCCCCTTCCTTCACCCTCTGGCCTTCCCTCTTTCTTTGCTTTTCTTTCTTTTTTTCTTTTTTTCCCTGTCCTTCCCTTTTCTTTTCCTTCTTTTTTTTCCCTTTCCTTCCTTCCTTCCCTTTCCTTCTTTCCTTCCTTCCCCTCTTTCCTTCCTTCCCTTTTCTTTTTTTTCTTTCTACCTTTTTTTTCCTTCCCTTCCTTCACCATCTGGCCTTCCTTCTTTCTTTGCTTTTCTTTCCTTTCTTTTAATCTTTTCTTTCCCTTTCCTTCCTTTTTTCCCCTCTTCTTTATCTTCCCTTTCCTCTCTCCCTTTCCTTCCTTCCTTCCCTTTTCTTTTTTTTCTTTGTACCTTCTTTTCCTCCCCTTTCTTCACCCTCTTGCCTTTCCTCTTTCTTTGCTTTTCTTTCTTTCTTCTTTTCTTTCTTTTCTTTTTCCTTTTTCTTTCATTCCCTTTACTTTTTTCGTTCATTGTTTTCTTTCCTTTTATTAATTTCTTTTCCTTCCTTCATTTCCTTTTATTTCCCTTTTCCTTAAAGTGATTCTAAAGGTTGGAATAAAAAAATAACAAACATGGTATACTTACCTGCTATGAGTAATGGTTTTGCACAGAGCAGTTCTGATCCTCTTCTTTTTGGGACCCCCACTGACGGTCCTGGCTCCTCCCCCAGCCAAGTGCCTCCAATAGCAAACTTCTTGCTATGGGGGCACTTGTGCAGGCTCACTCCTGTGTGAATGGACATTGTTCATTCACACACAGTGCGGCTCAGCCCAGCCCCCCACTCTCTCCTCATTGGCTCACTGGATGTGATTGACAGCAGCAGGAGCCAATGGCGGGGAGAGAGGGAGAGCCACAGCTCTCATGCACATTGCTGGAGAGAGATTAAGGTAAAAAAAAAAAACCTGCCTTTAGAACCATTTTCATTTGCTTTTTCCATTTCCTTATTTCCCTTAATTTCTGTTCCTTTTCCTTTCCTTCATTCCATTTCCTTTCATTCCTTCTGTTCTTCCCTTCTTTCCCTTTCCTTCCTTCTGTTCTTCCTTTCCTACCTATCCCTTCTCAGTGTTGTAATTGGCTGGATTATGGGATATCAGCTAAATCTATTCCAGATGCATCAAAAAAGAGGCTTGTATGTCTTAGGCTGTATGCACATTGGGCGTTTTAATAACACTGGTAGCATTAGCTGTGTAAAGTCACATTAAGAATGCAAGTTTTTGCATTAGCGTTTTGCCTCGTTTTTCTCTGCGTTTATGTTTTTTAGCATTTTTTTCCCCCCTAAATTTTTTTCAAAAAAGTCCAAAAACACTGGTTTGCTGCGTTTTGACATGTTTTTACCGGGTTTTTCAGTGTTAGAGCATTTTTGCAGCTAAAAAAACCCACTAGTTCTAGGTTTTTTCTCCAGCCAAAAAACGCTGATTATTAACCTATGTGTGCATGGACACACAGGATAACATGCTGGGGAGTTTATTGGCTGTAGAAAAAGATGCCAAAAACAGCAGCTGTCCAGTGTGCATGAGGACTTAGGCCCCATGTACACGGGACACTTCTGAACAATGGAAACTGACTGCTGGGAAAATGTAGGTTAAGAAACATCTGTTTAGCCGCTTTTGCATAACATGTTTAGACGCGTTTATATGCGTTTGCATTTAGAAGCGTTTTTTAAATATAAGCACAGGAGAACCTCCCAAATGCCCAGAATGCTCTGAAACGTGGTAAATTATTAACTATTTCAGACTGTTTCAGAGAAAAATACAGAGAGTAGAAGCAGAGACAGCAGTATGTGTTGAGATAATTAGGTGTGAGTTGCTCATTAACATTTCTTTTGTTTCCAAGGGTGGGAAAGGTGTCTGGTGGAGTGAGTCATTAAGGCCACCTGGCAGGGGGGTCTTCATGAGGAACTTGAGGTGTGAATGGTCATTAACATATCTTTTGTTTCCAAGGGTGGGAGATGTCTGAGGTGTGAATTGGTCATTACAATGTGTGACAAGCTTGGTAGGAACATCCTGTGTTCAGTGTTTTGTCCATTTGAGTACCTTGAAAACGCTTTGCATGCATTCTCCACGATGAAAAAAGGCTCTGGACAGCATTGGGAACTGGAAGAGTTAAAAAAAAATTTCAACCGTAAAAGCTTATAAACGCGATTTGCCGCGTTTACAAGCGTTTGGCATTTGAAACACTGATAAAATCTACTGCTGAACGCTTGTTTTGTGCTTTAAAAAAAAAAAAGGCCTGTAAACTCAATTGCCTGTAAACGACTGTAAACGACGATGTGTACATGGACACATAGGAAAACATTAGGGTGAGTTCAGGGGCTGCTGAAAAAAACGCTGAACAGCTCCTAAACGTGAGATTATCAGCTGCAGTGTACATGAGCCCTTACAGTTTGCTTTTGCTTGAAAGCAGAAACATAATGAGTAGAAATTGCTGCCCTCTGCCAGCATACTACAGAGAAGGACTCTTGCTCTTTGTGTGGAAGCAGAGCTCTTTCTGCAGTAGTCATCCCTTTCTGAGTCACATCTAGAGAACTCCAAATAGCAAAGCTCCTGCTCCCTGATTGAGGCGCTTTAACTCAGCAAGGGGTGTATCAGACCTCTGCAGAAAGTCCGCTGCTTCCAGCCAGAGAGCAAGAGCCCTTCTCGACAAAATTCTGTCAGCAGGCATTTTTTTAATCGGGCTGTGTCTGTGTTCTAAAAACAATCTGTAAGACTTTACACAACTTTATCTGCGAGTCAGTCTCCAGCAGGAGCGGACTGACAAATCATGGGGCCCCCGGCAATAGGGGATCATGGAGCCCCTGTGTCCTTCCCCACACTCAAAACACACCCAAAAAAGCCTATAAAAGGTACCAGGGGCATTTCATGGGGCCCACTACTGACCCCGGGCCCTCGGGCAGTGCCCGAGTGCTCGAATGTTCAGTCCGCCCCTGGTCTCCAGACTTACCTGACAATGCATCTGTGAAAAGGAACCTAGAGCTATAGAAGCTGCTTCTGCTGCCTTGCTTTTGAAGGTGCAGGCTTGTAGCGAGTCATTGATCTGGAACAAAAATGCAGTTAGTGAAGTGTAGGATGCCTGTTGTGAAAATGCTTCTTCCAAGTCAGTGAGTCACCAAGGCAAGAATAAGGATAACAGCTCTTCCGACACACCGCTATCATCTTGGATGATGGCCAAAAACTAGAAAACGTGAGTATAAAGCCCGCACACATGATGAGAATATCAGACGAATGATCGTCTGTTTTTTTTTTTTGCATGCTAGTCTCATATGGAAAGTGAAGAGGTTACTAAAATTACAAAAATTTTTGTATGACAGAATAAAAATTTGAAAGTGATGTAATGTATTTGTATTGTATTTTCAACCAAAAAACGTTACTGATTAAATTAAAATAATGCGATCTGGTATTGTACAAGAAACATTTTCCTGCTTATCCCTTAGAATAATTTCGGACGAAAGCTGTTTACTAACAATCAGAACATTATACAATCGCTTCGAATGCAGTATTTTTCGTACGGTTTTCTGATCATGTGTACTAGGCTTAAGGGTGCAAGTAGCTTTAGCATCATACTGGAGGATAATTTTGTGCAATAATAAGGTTTTCCTAAACATAATTGTTATTGCTTTTCTTCTTCTTATTGTTTTACCTAAAGGCAGCTCAATTATTGAATGCAATGCTTGGATCTGCTGCATTGTTTGTCAAGCCTGTTTGACCACTACAAGATACACAAATGACTGGAAAATCTTCCCTGCTCTTCTGCAGTGACGCCTGTCTTTGTAAATAATTGAAGTAAATGTTACTTGCTGCAGGGATCTGACACCAGTGGTGAACAATTCTGAAGTGCCTTTGCAGCTAGCAAATGCCATTTGTTTCAATTAATAGGTTGGCAGTTAGTGGT